AAGCATACAACACTGAGGCACGCTTTTCCTGTCTTTCAAAGGACGGCCTCATGGTTTATGTACAGGTTCCTCATGAGCACAACTAAGTGTTCTGGACTGCCCACTCTTCACACCAACATTTATAATTTGTTATAATCCATAGAGTCCAAGGCATTGGAACAGTCAATAGAACACAGGATGTAAACATCTTTCTGGTATTCTCTGCTGTCAGTCACGATCCATCTGATGGCAGCAATGGTACTCCTCGTGTGTTCACGTCCTTTTCTGAACCTCGCTTGAATTTCTGGGAGTTACTTCCCTTTTAATACACCGTTTTTCAGTTATCGTCAGCAAAACATTACTTGCGTGCAGTATTAATGATATTATTCTATAATTTCTGCATTCTGTTGGGTTGGGTCACTCTTCTTTGGAATGGGTACCAGTACGGGCTCTCTTCTGGTCAGTTTTTCAGGTAGATGTCGTCCAGATGTCACGGCACAGATGAGTGAGAGCTTTGAGCATTGCGTCCGTTTCTTGCGACATTGCAATTAGCATTCTGTCCATTTCTGCAGGCTTGATTTTGGCCAATGCCCTCAGTGCAGCTTGGACTTCTTCCCTTCTTATTCACATGCTACCCCCTGAAATGATTACACAGTGACCAATACGCTCTGGTAGCGTAGTGGTTACGAATCGGGCTGTGAACCTCAAGGTCAGCAGTTGCAAACTACCAGCTGATCCGCGGGAGAAAGATGAGGCATTCTGCTCCTGTAAAGATTTACAGCCTCGGAAACCCAGTACAGGGTCACTATGAGTCAGAACCGACTCCACAGCACTTAACAACAACAATTCCTTTTGGCACAGTGACTGTGCATTCCTTCCACCTTCTTTCAACACTTCCTGCGTCATTCAGTGTTTTCACATAGGTTCAGATCCATAGCGACCCTGTATACAACAAAACACAACACTGCCCACTCCTGCGCCATCCTCACAACTGCTGTTGTACTTGAGTCCACTGTTGCTGCCAATGTGCCGAGCCATCTTGTTGGGGGGCTCCCTCTTTTTCGTTGTCCTTCCACTTTACCAAGAATGATATCCTTCTCCAAGGACTGGTCCTTCCTGATAATATGTCCTAAGTATGGGAGATGAAGTCTGGCTATCTCGGCTTCTAAGGAGCACTCTGGTTGTGTTTTTCCCACACAGATGTGTTTGTTCTTCTGGCAGTCCATGGTACATTTAATATTCTTCTCCATCACCAGAACTCAAAGGCACCAATTCTTCTTTGGTCCCCTATTCTTTGTCTAACTTTCACATGCATATGAGGCTGTTGAAAATACCATGGCTTGGGTCAGGCGTACTTTAGTCCACAAACTGATACCTTTGCTCTCGAACACTTTAAAGAGGTTTTGTGCAGCAGATTTGTTTAATGCAGTCTGTCATTTGATTTCTTGGCTGCTGCTTCCATGAGTGTTGGTGGTTGATTTAAGCAAAATGAAGTCTTTGACAACTTCCATCTTTTCTCCATTTATCACAATGTTATTTATGGTCCATTTTTGTTCCCTTTACATTAAAGTACAATCCATACTAAAGGCTGTGCTCTTGGATCTTATCAGTAGGAATTTTAAGTCCTCTTGGCTTTCAGCAAGCTAGGTTGTACCATCTACATATCGCAGGTTGTTAATGAGCCTTCCTCCAATCCTGATGCCACGTTCTTCTTCCTATAAGCCAGCTCCTTGGATTATTTGCTCAGCATACATGTTGAATAAGTATGGTGAAAGAATACAACCCTGTGCACACCATTCCTGATTTGAAACCACTCATTAAGGTCTAATTTCATGCATTAGACACTAATGACTGAAAACCAGAAGATTAGGAAGAAAGCTAAAGGTCATTAAGCAAGCAGGAAGACACAATCTGAAAGCCTTTTATTTCTGAGAACTCTGCCAGGTATATTAAAAAAAGAAGAAACATGATTATGTTTGATTAGTAGAAAAAATAAACTCAATGCCCTAAAACTTTGACAAACTCTAGTCCTGGTGTGGCACTACAGGATAATGCACTGGACCACAAGGATGGCAGTTCAAACCCACCAGTTGCTCCTTGGAAACTCTATACAAGGTTACTATGAGTTGGAACTGACTCGGTGGCACTTAATAACAGATATTTTGAAGACCTCATAAAACGCTGGTTCTGATTTCCTTAGCATAAAATGCCTCAGTTCGTCCATAGAAGTGTGTTTCTCAGAGAGGGATTACATCCTACTTATGACTCAAGAAACACACGTGTGCTTTGTAAAATTTGGGACCAGTTTTAGTTGGTAAAGACCCTAAAGTAGGAATAAACAAACACGGATCATTGAACAGTGAACTTTAAATAGTATATAATTAAAAACAACTTTAAGAACCTCATTTTACTGTCGTACGGCGCTGTGGGTTAATGCGCCAGACTGCAAAGCCGTTTGAACTGCAAGGTCAGCAGTTCAAGCTCACCAGCTGCTCCTTGGAAACCCTATATAGGGTCACTATGGGTCAGAATTGACTCGACAGCACTTCACAACAACAATAAACCGAGACCACAGCAAATACATTTATCCTAGGTGGCCACATGGTAGAAGTTCTTCCAAAAGTCTGACTGGAAGAGACCAGTGCAGCGGAATTCCCAGACCTTTACCCTATTTCCTCCAGGTGACTCATCTGCTGGAGATCACAGTCGTTCTGCAAGTTCAAAGGCAGCTTGGTCTCACCCCACCTTCTCTGCAAAGGCTCTGCTGCCTGCCAGGAGTTGGGTAGACAGGTCCGACCAGTTTCTAGCACCACTGCCCAGATGAAATGATTGTTTATTTCCTCCTCAAATGAGACCTTAAAGAAAAAGCACTCAAGTTCCCTGGCGTTCTGTGAATGCAGGCACTGGGCCCCGGTGATCCAATAAGACTCCGGTGCAGAGACGCACATGCACACTCACATATACACACATGCACTCAGGACACGGACACAGATGGACACACACACACTGAAATATACACACATGCACTCAGGACACGGACACAGATGCATGCGCGCACACACACACACACACACACACACTGAAATATACACACATGCACTCAGGACACGGACACAGATGCATGCGCGCACACACACACACACACTGAAATATACACACATGCACTCAGGACACGGACACAGATGGACACACACACACACACACACAGAAATATACACACATGCACTCAGGACATGGACACACACACACACACACACACACACACACACACTGAAATATACACACATGCACTCAGGACACAGACACAGATGGACACACACACCACTGAAATATACATACATGCACTCAACACACTGACACAGATGCACACACACACTGAAATATACACACATGCACTCAACACACTGACACAGATGCACACACACACACACACACACTGAAATATACACACATGCACTCAACACACTGACACAGATGCACACACACACACACACACACACTGAAATATACACACATGCACTCAGGACACAGACACAGATGGACACACACACACACACTGAAATATACACACATGCACTCAGGACACGGACACAGATGGACACACACACACACTGAAATATACACACATGCACTCAGGACACAGACACAGATGGACACACACATACACACACACACACTGAAATATACACACAT